TTTAGCAGAATCTTGGTAGTCATGTCTTCTTGAGAGGAGATCTGCTCTTTGATTCTTGGCCCCTGAGATATGTTTATAACAAAGTCAAAACCTCCTAGTTGTTCAGACCACCTTGCTTGTCGTCGATTGAGCTGTTTAGTGGTTGTAAAGGTCAAGAGATTTGAATGGTCACTGTAAATAGTGATAGGATAGTTTGCCCCTTCAAGGTAGCATCTCCAATGCTTTAGAGAACATACTATGGCAAGCAGTTCCTTGTCTGTAATGGGATAGTTTTGTTCGGCTGCTGATAGCTTTCTTGAGTAAAATGCCACAGCTGTAGCTCTTCTTGTTTGTCCTTTGGAGCTTGGTATAAGATTCCAGAAATAGGAAAATCTGAGGCATCTGTCTCAAGAGTGGCAAGTTTCAAGGGGTTAAAGTGTAGTAACATTTTCCTTCTTTGAATTCTCCTTTAAGAGCATCGAAAGCATCTTGCTGTGTCTTATCCCAGTGATACAAAGTGTCCTTGTGAAGTAATTGAGTAAGGGGTAAAGCCAAGGATGTATATCTTGGTATAAACCTCCTGTAATAGTTGGCAACCCCAAGGAAAGACTGAACCTCTTTAATGCTGGAAGGAATAGGCCACGTTTGTACTGCTTTTGTCTTTTCAGGATCCATCTGAATGCCTTCTGTTGAAATTCTATGTCCCAAGAAATCAACTTGAGACATATGGAAAAGACATTTCTCAAGTTGCAAAAGAGTTGTGCTTGAGATAGCTTCTCTAAGACTTGTCTAACATGTAGAACATGCTCTTGAGTGTCCTAAAGAGTATATAAGAATGTCATCTAAGTAGACAACAACAAAGATATCCAAGTAAGGTCTTAGAATATCATTCATGAGAGCTTGGAAAGAAGCAGGTGCATTGGCAGCCCAAAAGGCATTACCTGGTATTCCAAAATGACCATAGCGTGTTCTGAATGCTGTCTTCCACTCATCACCTGTTATAAGCTCCCCTGAGATCTAACTTGGTAAAGATCCTTGCTGAAGAGAGCCTATCCATGAGCTCAGGGATAAGGGGTAAAGCATATCTGTTTTTAACAGTGACTGCATTAAGGCCCCTATAATCAACACAGAGACGCAAGGAGCCATTTTTCTTCTTGACAAAGAGAATGGGAGCTCCTGCTGGTGAGGAAGAAGGTCTGATAAAGCCAGAACTAAGGTTCTCATCTAGGTATTCTCTGAGAGTTTTCAGCTCTAATTCAGATAGAGAGTAGATAGGGCCGTAGGGAGGCATTGAGCCTTCTGCGAGTGGTATCTCATGGTCATAAGGCTGGTGCTTTGGCAGAATTGATGCCTTTGCCTTGTCAAAAAGATGTTGGTAGTCTTGGTATGCTAAAGGCAAAATGACCTCCTGAGATGATTTCTCCAAATCTGAAGTAGCTGCTATCTCCAGGACAGGTTGGAAAGGTTTAACCCATATCAGAGATGATATATCGTCCATAGTTTGGTCAAAATCCTTGATCTGGGACAAGTCTGAGTCTTGGACCTGAATAGGGGTAACTGAGGCTTGAAGGGTTTTTTCAGTATTGAGCTCAGGATTTGAGCTAAACCCAAGCGATAAATGCTTCCAATTGATAGTTGGATCATGCCTTTGAAGCCATGGAAGACCTAGGATGACTGGGTACTTCATTGGTATAACATCTAAAGAGATGGTGTCTGAAAATGTTGATTTTCCTAGGGGAATCTTAAGTTTGAGTACTGGGGAGTTGCAGGTAATGGAACCTGAACTGATAGGAGTTCCATCAATGACTCGGAGCAACTCTGGAGTGCGTTTGGGAATTGTAGGTAACTGGTGTGTCAAGATGAGGTCTTGAGATATAAAGTTGCCTGTTGCCCCTGAGTCTATCATAGCCCTTGTAGATAACACCTGTTGTTTGAAATGGAGTTGAATAGGGATTAACAGGTGTGTGAAACTCTGAGAAAGCACCATCGACACATCTTTGTTGTCTAGGGGAGAAGTTGTAGTCTCAGTTGAAGTTGTGCCTGGTGGGGATTTTTCAAGTTTTTCAGGAATAGCAGCTGTGACTGTGTCTGAGGCTGCTATATGTTTTTGAATCAGCACTCCCCCGTGCTGACATAAAGGCAGGTTAGCCGAGTCGGACCCGTTTCAGGTACTTGAGTGTCATGACACTCCTTCGATATTTGTGTCACGACCCTTCAATTCGCTTTAGTCTCTAGTACTTATTTCACTATGTCATTCACTTCACCTGCTTTGCTCACTTCGCTCACTTCGCTTCACTTGCTGACCTAGATCAGCCCAAATGTTGACTACTGGCTTAGGCTCTCTTGTTATTGGCTTGCTGCACTAGGGCTCGCTTAGCTAGGGTTCAGTTAATTAGTGCCTTCGCTTATTTGGCACTAGGGATTTTTACTGTTATATAAGCACTTATTGCTCATGTCTCTTATTGATCTTTAGCTAGCAAATTATATACTACTTGGCCTTCTTGCAATTCCTCCTGCTTCAACTTACTTTGCATTCCCTTACTTCGAGTCGAACCACTTGGCCAACCTGTTAGTCTCACCGCTTGACCCCTGTGGTATAAAGTATATGCTTTGGAGCCTGAATTACTATACCTTGTCCTACTGCTTCGAGTATCGAAGTCTTCACATTATACTTCGGATACTTCTGCAGACTTGAAGGTCAGCCTCGGTTCGAACTGTCCTTACATTGAGGAGATTGACCCAACGGGGGTTCCTCTCCTTCAGTGACGGAAGGTATCTGAGTCGGACAAGTCATGGTCACGTGGTGAGGGTGAAGGCAGGTTAGCCGAGTCGGACCCGTTTCGGGTACTTAAGGAGATTGACCAAACGGTGATTCCTCTCTTCATCTTTTTTGTATCCTTCGTAGTAGACCTATAGGATAGCATCCGTTTAGCCTCTGACTCGCACTCTCATATGCTATTACTATGAGCTGGTGTCATACTGACATTCGTTGCACTCAGTTTGCTATCAAACTCAAGAGCAAACTTAGAAATCTCCTCCTCAAACCTACAAGTCACCATACATATCTTGGCTTATCACACCAACAACAGAAGCAATACTACTCAACGATTGCTGCAAACTCTTCTACTACATCTGTTTATGCTACATACATCACGGCATATCATTTGGACACTCATTGAACAAGTTATTAAGAAAATCTCCTCCTTAAGGGGGTGGGCCAATACTACCACATGGCATATCTCTACCAACTAGTGGCCTAGGAACATGAACGATAGCTCTAGAAGCTTCTACAACCCTCTATGATTCATTACACGTCATCGCTACTTAGTTACCCACAAGATTGGTTAAGTTATGACATAATTTGTCTATAGGTACTCTGACCTTGGACCTCCTTTTCACTTCCTATAGGCTAGGAACCCAAGAGATGGTTCTATGGGATTCTCTTACGTTCACTACATGATTAGCAAGCTAGTTGTGGGTCGCACTTGATTTCTAATACATTTACCAAGCCTGGTTAGTCATGGAAAGTCATGGAAAATGAGAGAACTACACTCCTTTGGCATCAATAGGATTGCCCTTTCCTTAAGAAAGGGCAAGCAGGCAATACAGTAAATCGACTATCACATACTTCCACGTCTTTTCCAAGCTTCCAAGCATTCATCTTGTTACTCCTTGTTTCTGAAAAGTCAGTGAGGTGTTAACCTCTGACTTACCCCTGAGTTCCCAGACTCAACATTTGTTGCAACTTGTCTGAACCACTTCACTATATCACACACCTGATTGCTGCGTTGTGGAATAGTCTAAGTGTAACGCTGACTTCTAAACGATAGAAGACACAGAGGTTCTCTTGCGTAAAGGTTTACTTATCAGAGGAGGCAGGGGATCAGACACAAAGGCTTCAAGTAACACGTTACTAGTATATAACAAATACTGTATTGAGTTGAGCACGAAGCTCCTATCTAAGGAAATACTATCTACTTATATAGTGGCGTCGTGCCTAGTGGACTCTTGGGAACTCACTCGAGTCCTCGGAGTCCTGGACTCTTAGGACTCTTCTCATCATCCTGCGAGTCCATCACGTGCCTAGTGGACTCCTGGGAACTCACTCGAGTCCTCGGAGTCCTGGACTCTTAGGACTCTTCTCATCATCCTGCGAGTCCGTCACGTGATACTTTCGGAACTACTATTCCCCGCTGCCCCTCCAGGTACCAGGGCCGGTCTCATGCGACCTCCCTCCTTCCTGTCCTGTAGTTGGCCAGCCTTCTTGTTCCGTCGTAACACTAAGCTACAACCCTTTGGCTCTGTTTCCTAAGACAGTGTGTTGTCTTAGTAAATTCATCCCTTCCTTGGGTGGCTAGATTCTCATATCTGGTGCACCCACCATTACAGCTGGGTGCCCTGTGTCCTTACAAAGATGATGGGCGACCGGTCATCATTTTGATATTTTCTCATGGAAAGGAGGGGACGTTTGCAATCCACATGGGCCTTACGAAAGGAAATAAGCCTAGGTGTAATGATGTATGGTTACGCTCGCGCTACATCCACTGAGCCAAAAAGACTTAAGTATTCCGCCTCGCCCGGAATACGCGTAACATGCTTTATATACCACATGTATTGTAACGGCGGCACCCGTTACACTAGGCTCCTAACAACGAAGATATTCAAACAGGCAATTGGGAGCAGTGCACCAAAAGCTGGGCTCTGCCTAGTTACAACAGCCTGCTATAGTGGTGGATGTAACGGGTGCCGCCGTTACAGTACATGTGGTATATAAAGCGTGTTACGCGTATTCCGGGCGAGCCGAATACTGTAGTCTTTTTGGCTCAGTGGGATGTAGCGCGAGCGTAACCGTACATCGTTACAGTGGATATGCGATTAATGCAGACTTGAACATCACCACTCTTGCTGCACAAGCGAAGTGGAAAGAGAGTCTTTCATGGCCAGTTAGTGGGACTATCCGACGTCGTTTTTGAGGATCTCCTTTCGTGACAGCCTTAACCGACACACTTTTGAAGATTACTATGGAAGGCTTCAACACTGAAGAAGTGGATGACTACGATCAAAGTCCAACTTATGCAGGACTTGTTAAGCTAGTACGCGATGCTGTCCAGGAAAAGATCCTAAGATGGAACTTACGAAATCAGGGACTCAAATTTCAGTCCACCATCCTATGTTTTCGTCGCAAGATGACCAGTGGGAGATGGAGTATTCAGAGCGGACAGGATTCCCTCTAAACAAATTCAAGGAGAGGTGGTTGCAGCTAAAGGCTGCTGGAGAACAACAAGAGCCGCCTGGAGGAGAATATCAGTTTGGTCCAGGAGAACGAATCTTTAGCTACGATATGCTGCTTACACAAGTCAAGGGACACGCACGCAAATATTTAGCTAGCAAAACCTGGTCTCGATGAGCAAGCAAAAAATGTGGCGCTTCATGGCTCCATTAATCGTCCACTCGAGGGGGTTGAAAGGCCTACGCTTATGGGCCTAGTACAGATGCGAGACTCTCTTGACTATCGTATGAGCCAAGTTATGGGGGCGGCAACGGCCTACAAGAGTTTCTGGGAGCTCGACATGCCAGATTGTGAGGAAGTCGATATTAATGCTTACTCTGGTCCAAATGTACCAAGATCATTTGACCTAGTCTGCGAGTACGCCCTATTTGACGAGCCAGCAACACTACAGGGCCACAGTTATGCGAAAGGGTTAAAGTATATCGCGTGTTGTATAGCTGAAGCTGGTTGGAACCAGGCTGAAGCTACAGCTAAACTTGATTCTTTGGTAAAGTACAAAGGTAAACTACGATGTTAAATTTCTCACTTTATAGCATGAAAAGCTAACATCTCTTTTAGAAGCAGTTGTCCGCGCTTCGGGCATCCCAAAAGTTTATGGCATGAGCCGTCTTCTGTCAACGATTAACACGAAGATATTCAAGTACGAATGGGAGATCCGGCAAGAACTCAAGACAATCTCGCAGCGCACAAAGCGAAGGATCCGGGCGATGTCCCCCGGCAAGTCCGACACACCACGCCAAAAAGGTCTCCCAGGTGAGTGGATTGAAGATACCGCTACGGCTGACATGGCAAGGTTAGGCCTCTGTGGTGCTGGACCAAGCAGTCCTGGTCCTAGTTATAGTGGACCAAGCAGTCCTAGTTCCAGTCGTGGTGGTGCTGAACCAAGCAGCCAGTAGGGATATATTCGATGAGGAAACCTCATTCAGCTTAAAAAAATCGAGAGGACAAAAGAGAAAAAGACTTCAAAACATATGCTTCGAGTTGGCGTTCGGCTGCGAAGGTTGATATGAGAAAACAGAAAAGGGCATTAAAAAATGGGTTGGCTGTTGCATTTGGCTGAGGAAAATGGGAGGATGAAGTAGAATAAAACGATGATTTTCACAAACAACATGCATGAAGTGACCATCAACGTGGAAAAGGGTGTGCTGCCACACTTTTATGTACTACATGATACCTCTATCATGGTGACTTGGGAAATCTATCGGTGGACTTGAGATATAGTAGTTTGTTTGTACATGACTTCGCTGTCTGCCGCGGAAATAGTGGCGCTAATCTCACATATATCGTACATCCAAACTCTCCCTTCTCTGCCGCGCTATGGAGCCCAAGCTTCTAATGCAGCTCGTACCCGTCTATCCCTTACCTTCCCTCATACTGGCGCCCTACCAAATCCCCAACCACTTCTTAACCTGCCTCTTCTGCTTCGGCTGCTCCACGCTATCCTCTCCCGCTTCCATTGCTTCCTGAACAGCGACAGGAGGTGCCTCCTTGGCAGTCCACCCACCAAAGCCCTCTGTCTCCAACCCATGCGCCTTCCTGTACTCTCCCCTCTTCGCCACATCCTCCACCCTCCTCTCTCTCCTCTCCTTAGTCTCCGCGCTCCTCGCCTCGGTATCCAGCCTCAAAACCTCAAACACCGTCCTCACCGTCGCAAAGGGGTGCCATATCGCATCCTTCGGCTCCGGCAGGAGATCCCCAAACTTCGAGTCCCGTCGCAGACTAACCAGGAACGTGAACCCCGCCAGCGACGACAGGACTCCAAGCGTGATGTAGATGTGGATGCTGCGATTGTTCAGGAACCAGTGCATGAACGTCCCCTCGGGGGGCATCATGGTAGGGTATTTCTTCGTCTTCTGGGCTGCGATCTCGGATTCGCTGAGCGGGGGCCGGGGTACCGCACTGTGCGGTTGGGTAGGCTCTTGCCGTGCGAGGGCGGGTTGAAACGTGTAGGCTTCTCGAGGACGGGAATTTTGGAGGCAGGCGCCTTGGGTTTTGTGGCCTTTGTGGAAGCGGCTCGGATGGTGCGGGAGGTGGGCGAGGTGAGACGCGGGCGCCAGGTGGAGGGACCGCGGGGAGGAGAAAGCGTGGGATTGAGGCGGACATTGTTCCGTGTGTTGATTGCCTGTTGTCCTGGATAGGCAATCTTGAATGGGCAGTATAATTTTACCGCGTATTCCTCAGTAGTAGTGTTGCCAAAAAGAGCCGCACGAACAAATGGCTCAGGAACAAAAATATTACGGGCGCCGAGATAGGCCACGTGCGTTCTCCGCGGCACTGTTTGTTCCTTGACCCGAGGTCTCCCGAGACGGTTGAATACAAAAATGACAAAGTCGAGCCTTCTGATTGGTGGATCAGCACAACATGTGGCTGGGGGGCCGACTGATGACTGGGAGACGCTAATTTCTTGGTTTCCTGGCCGTCATGTCCGGTTTGTCCTGGGTAAGAGAAAGTTTTTCGATTCCTCCTACTTAACTTGCCTTACGTCTTGTTTTAAACATACAACAAACAAACACCTTCAATCGCTTTTATTACCTTAATACTTATTCAAAATGCCTTTCAAGGACGGTATGTAGTCCCGTTTTCTTACGCACTGGCTGGCTGTGCTGGGAATCATCGTTTGCGCAATTTATCCACGGCGACGGCGGTTTTCCATTGAGATGGAGGCGATGCCTGGGATGGGTTGAAGTTTGTCCTGGGGATGCAGAGATGCTTGGTCAATGGCATGCTGGCTTCGACGAGTGCCTACGATGAATAGATCTGGCGAAAGAGACGATGCACTTTGCCCTCTGTCAACTTCGAATTGCCATCCAAGCAAGGGGGAGACAGCTATCAACAACAGCCTCTCCTGCCTCATCTATCTCGAAATCACTCGCCAGCCAATGCATAACATGCCAGATATCCTCTGAAGCGCCATTAACTCATCGCCAACCCCGCTGCCAACTTTTTCTCGTTACCCTCGGCACAGCCAAGCCTTCACCAACTCCAGAAACAGACAACTAACGCATCACGTAGGAGACTCAAAGAAGGGTGCCAACCTCTTCAAGACCCGTTGCGCACAATGCCACACCCTCGGTGATGGAGAGGCCAACAAGATCGGCCCTAACCTCCACGGTCTCTTCGGCCGCCAAACCGGCGCCGTTGAGGGCTTCGCATACACCGATGCCAACAAGCAGAAGGCTATCACCTGGAACACCGATACTCTCTTCGAGTACCTCGAGAACCCAAAGAAGTACATCCCTGGCACCAAGATGGCCTTCGGTGGACTCAAGAAGGAGAAGGACCGCAACGACCTGATCACGTAAGTTAGCCACAGCCGCTGCCAGCTCGAAACAATTCTAACAAATCCCAGCTTCCTCCGTGAGGAGACTAAATAGACGGGGACGCTGATGCTGTAATGATATAAAAGGCTGTACTTGTACAATAGGTTAGATAGCGTTGGCTGTTGGGTGGGAAAAGATCTCCTCTTTAACATCGCGTGTACGTCCTGCATATCATATAGAATAGATGAGTTGGGGCGGAAAGGTTTATTTCAATAATGTTTGTAACTATGCGCTGCGCTCTGCTCATGCTTGGGTTCCTCTATGATTCTTCTCATCCAAACGCCTTGCCGATGTTCATGTCCATCCATAATAGCCCAAGTAGTCATCTAGCCATATGTAACCTTTATCTCGTCGAATTCAACTAAGGCACTCACATATACACAAATCAAGACGCCAACATCGCTTGCCTCTCCTCTCTTTGCTCTTCCCTCTGCTTCTCCCTAGCCCCCGCCCTCTCCTTGCTAGGCAGCTTCGTCGTAGGCACACTCGGCATCACGCCTGTAACTTGCGCCTCTAGTGCCTCAAGCTCATCCTCCACCTCATCCTCATCCTGATTCGAGATCTTCCCTCCCAACATATCACTGACCTCCTACTCAAACATTAGCAACCGCTTCACACTCACTTAATAAACAGCACCAAACATACCTGCTGATAAGCCACCGCCTCCGCCGTCTCCCCCATCAACTTCTCCACCTGCTCTAACCCTCCCATCTCCTTCTGAATCTCCGTCAACACCCTCGTCCCCTCCCTCAGCCCAAACACCACATCCTTCTGCACCAGCGCAAACTCCACACTACTCGTCAGCACCTCTAGCTGCTCTAGCTGCGCATCCGTCTTCGCCAGCAGACTTTCTTGGTACTTCTTCCGCCGCAGCGCCAACAGTGCACGCGGACGGTCACCCTGCTTCAGCAGCGTCGCTGCAATAGCGTGTTCTCGGGCTGTGATCACCGTAATCCGCTTCTGGTATTTATGCAGCCTGTCGCGCTGGATTTTGAGGTTGAGAATCGCCCTGGGGAGGGGTGAGTAAGGCATACGAGAGGGGCAGGCACGTACTCATCTTGCGCGGACGGCTTGCTGGCAGTACTGCCCATGGCTGCTGAATCGCGGGGTTATTTGAAAGCGACGAAGGCGCATGCTTCGGCTGGAATCTTATAGTTGTATTGTCATTGTCAACGGTTTTTTGTGTCTTGGAGGCCCTGTTTTCGGAGCAGAAGGTCGAGGGCGTCATCCACCCTAAAGGCGGTCGGGGTGCGATAACGGAGTTGCCGGCGCGATTACAGGGGTGCAGTTGGGAAAGTCAAAAAGTTTGGACGGGGAACACAACATCACCGATCGGTGCGACTTCTTGGGATTTTTGACTTTGCAAATCTACGTGTGACTTATGATTTATCGCAGCGATGCCGATTAGAAGCGGCCAGAGGCCAAGTTTGACGCAGAGTCTTGATCGCGAGGTGGGTTTTGCGAGAAAAGTTGTGGGGAAATATTCTAATCGCTACAGATATACCAAGTTGTTCGCAAAATCGCTGACGAGCAGGCCGAGCGTGAGGATGGCGGGAAGAGGCTTTCTACATCGGTAGTATACGACAGCATTAAGAATTCGAATTCAAGTCTTAGGCGCAGACCGAAGAAGTTGCTCGATGACTCGATCGACCGTGTTCTACTAGTTATAAAAGAGGAGCAGGATGATAGCGAGGCTTCGCTGGATGGGGATTTTGATGGGATCGCCGATGCTGTACCTGTACTGAAGGAGCACAATGTCATGAATAGGAGCATTACGAAGTTGTGGGCGCAACCGAAGGCATCCCTCACACCGAACACACAATCAGATGCCTTAACGACGGGACAAACTACACCTTCAACTCCAACCCAGGCACTCGATGGAGATGCGACGACGCCGGGCAAGGCGGACAGACATACCAATGGAGAGCCGCACAAGAAGCGCCGCAAGGCAGAGAGAGAGCCAAAGAAAGAAGTCGACCGCACTCCACCCGCAGACATCTCCCTCGCCAACCTCGCGGTGTCGACGCAGTGATCGAAGAGCTGAACGAACTCGTCGCCATGCCCATGCTCTACCCCGAAACATACCTCCGTACCGGCATCCAGCCGCCCGCGGTGTCCTCCTCCACGGCCCGCCCGGATGCGGCAAGACTATGATCGCTAACGCCTTCGCATCCGAAATAGGCGTCTCCTTCATCCCCATCTCGGCGCCCTCGCTCGTAGCCGGCATGTCCGGCGAGTCTGAGAAGAAGATCCGCGAGATCTTCGACGAGCGAAAGAAAATGGCTCCCTGTCTTGTCTTCATCGATGAGATCGACGTTATCATGGGGAAGCGTGAGAGCGCGCAGCGTGAGATGGAGAAGCGTATTGTTGCGCAGATGCTGACGTGCATGGACGACATGGCGCTGGAGAAGACGGACGGGAAACCTGTCATCATCATCGCTGCCACCAACAGACCCGACAGCATTGACCCCGCGCTCCGCCGCGCGGGACGCTTCAACAAGGAAATCAACCTCGGCGTACCAAACGAGGCGTCGCGAGAAGATCCTGCGTGCGCTGACGCAAAAGCTCATGTTACCCGATGAATTCGACTTCCTCAAGCTCGCCAAGATGACTCCCGGTTTCGTCGGCGCGGATCTCAATGATGTCGTCTCGGTCGCCGGCACAGAAGCGATGAAGCGCATGATGACAGCTCTCAAGCAGCGCGTCGTAGACACCCCCCTAACTCCCCCAACGGCACTCACAACAGATGTCATGGAAATCGATAGCATCCTCACTGCCGCCTCTACCTCCGCCACTACTACCACCTCCACCGACCTAACCGCACACCCGACCCCCCTCTCCGCCCCACTCCGCCTCCTCCGCAGCCTCGTCAAGCACGCCGGCGAAACACCCCCCGACGGAGACTTCTCAATTACCTACTCCGATTTCCTCGCCGCCATCCCCAAAGTCCAGCCCTCCGCGCGCCGCGAGGGATTCGCTACCATCCCCGACACGACGTGGGCGCACATCGGGGCTCTGCACACCGTGCGCGAGCAGCTGACTATGGCCATCATCGAGCCCATCCGTCGCCCCGCCGCCTTCGCGCGCGTGGGTATCACAGCCCAACTGGTGTCTTACTCTGGGGACCGCCAGGGTGCGGTAAGACGCTCCTAGCGAAGGCGGTAGCGAACGAGTCGAAGGCGAATTTCATCTCCATCAAGGGCCCTGAGCTACTAAACAAGTACGTCGGCGTCCGAGCGCGCAGTCCGACAAGTCTTCGAGCGCGCGCGCTCCTCCGTCCCCTGCATCCTATTCTTCGACGAGCTGGACGCTCTCGTCCCCAAGCGCGAGGACTCGTTGTCTGAAGCAAGCAGCAAAGTCGTCAAACACGCTGCTCACCGAACTGGACGGCCTCAGCAGTCGCGCGGGCATCTACGTCGTCGCCGCCACGAACAGACCGGACATGATCGACCCCGCGATGCTGCGCCCGGGCCGCCTGGGGACGAGCGTCTTCATCGACTTGCCGAATGCCGATGAGCGGGTCGAGATTCTGCGCGCGCTGTATGCGAAGGCACTGCCGGGGGCGGTGATGGAGGGGTTGGAGGAGGTGGCGAGGGATGGGAGGGCGGAGGGGTATTCGGGGGCGGATTTGGGGAATTTGCATCAGGCTGCTGCGGTGGCGGCGTTGAGGAGGGATGGGGGAGTGAGGAGGTCAGGATTGAGAGGGTGGATTGGAGGTTGCGCTGGGTTCGGTGAAGCCGAGTGTGAAGGATGCGGGGAAGTATCGGAGGTTGAAGGAGAGGGGGATGTAAAAGAGGGGGGGGGGGGTCGTCTTGGGATGACTTGATGGTGGGGTTATGCATTTTTTAGGAGTTTGAGATGGAGATAATGGATGTTGGTATTTGTCTTTGATTATGTGCACCTGTGAAGTCTATATTATACATGTTTTGGCCGTCGACAAAAGTCCTCCAACCTTTAATGCCTCATGCTTCATGCCTTGCGTGTCTATGCTTCCATACAAACAGTGCAAACAAAGTATATGCCTCATGTCGCAGAAGGGCCGACATATGCTCTTCCCCAACCGCCCTTCCCGCGCGCCAAGTTGTTAATTAACAACCCCCGTCCGTCTATATAAAGCCACTCTGCCTTTCGTTCCTTCCCACATTCTCTCGTTCTTTCCCTCTTTTTATCCATCCGCCGTTCGTCCCTTCCCTCCTTCCAAGGCGTCAGTATACCTCAAACAGCCCAACATATAATTGCGACCTACCATTCGTCTCTCGTATCCCCTCCACGCCAGTATTAAAGCACATGACTTCAAGCCGTTGAATGCCTCGTCCTAATCGTCCACCAAATAGTTCGACCTCCAGTCAATCCAACACAATAACCTCCCCGGTCTTGGCGTACTCCCCGAATACATCTTCGGCCCATTCGGTGCCGGCCCAGGAGCGACTTCATACCGCACCTTGCCCCACGGTCTAACCTGTCGCGCTGCATATCTTGGATCTCCGATGTCCTCCGCAGGCCGTGTACGAACTTCCCGGTACTGCTGCTCTCGTGAAGGGCTAATATGACAGAGGATAGCGTCAGCGAACTGACAGGGAGAGAGAGAGAGAAATATAAAACACTAGACTTACACGCGTCGATACTCTACAGGCTGCGGCTCAAAGTCGCCGTATGGACGTTCGGCTGGTAGGAGTCTGGCTGGTAAAGCAGAATGGGGACGTTCAGCTGGTAAAGGCCTCGCTGGTAATTCTGGACGCGGACGCTCCGCTGGTGGGGGTCTCGCCGGCAAATACAACGGTACAGGGTCACGAGACTGGTACTCTGCCTGCTCGCGGGTCACTCCAACAGGGCGCTGATAGTACTGTGGCTCCTGAGCAGCATAGCGTTGTTCATACGCTCCCGGAGGGCGGTTCTCAGACACATAAGCAGTCGGCCGCTGCTGCTCTACAACTCGCTGCCGCATAGGCGCCTGAGACTCACCTCGCTGCGCACGATCATCTAATGAAAGCTTACCAAAAGCCGCATTATGGTCTGCCACGTGCCTGACAGGCCGGAGCTCTCTAGGCGCCAGAGGCTGCTGAGACATCATAGACGGCTGGCTATCAACGACAGCATTCTGGGTAAATGCGTGATCGTAGCGGCGCTCCTCTATCCCCTGGGATGACGCGGCTGATGAAGACGAAGGAAAGAAACGGTCATCTGCACGTGGCACTGGACGGAGACGAACATACTCGACGCCCGTGTTGGCAGGCTGAAAGACGCCAGGGTCCGCAGCTACGCGGCGGCGCTTGGGCACGACCTCGGGCTCGTCGTCGTAGATGACGTTGGAGTGGACGGGGAGGGGTCTGAAGCGCTTGGGCTCAGGCTCACCGCGTGTGTACAATACCTGTTCTTCATGAGCCCGCGGTGGGGCGTTCCTCGCCTGGCGGACACTCATCATGACTGGTGATTCTCTCCTATCCGGCGGTCGCTGGGCAAATCGCCGCGCTCAATGGATGGGGGCATCGTGCGGACTGAATGGCCGAGTCATACCGGCTAGCTGGCGCGGTTCTCGGCTCGCGGTGCCTCGGATCTCCAAGGTTCACCGGTTTCAGTGACTATGGGCCGGTCCACATATTCATAGGTGGACCTGGGTGGTGGGTCTTTGTACTGATCAAGGATGTTGGACCTCAACATTACCTCGCGTTGCACGTAGTGGCCCTGTTCTGGTGCCGACTAACAGTGCTTGTTGGTATTGGACAGATTCCAAAGGTCGGCTGACAGGTAACTGCTTCCTGTTATCAGTACAAATGGTACTCCCTCCTACGTTGAAACTTACTTCACGATATCTGGGCTGATTATCAACAACGTTTCTCTGTAAGCGTTGTGGCTCTTCAGCAGGCAGACGTTCATCGCCGCCATAAAATCCGGATACATTATTGGTCAGTCTGTGAGCATGTCTGGACTCATTATTCCTCCGGTCATCATAGGACGGCTGTCTGACTGGTGCTGCATGCGAAGCTTGTTGCCTCTTCTGGGCGTCTTCCCAAGCCTGGTAACGCTTGAAGCCTCGCCTTGCCTGCTTATCCTTCCGCCCTCGCGCCTGCTTGTTGTTTGTCTTCGAACGTGTGCGTGT